AAAACAGTGTGTGTCTGATATTGCCAAATGTACATAGCTTTCTCCTTCTCCTCTCTGTTTTGAGTCTATATTAATTTTGTTATGCTGTGCACGCAGACAAACTACACAAAGTGGGTGCATAAATATGTTTTTTCATCCAATCAAGAAACCACCACCATCAAGTGTCAAGAACATGTGAAATATTAAAAAAACAAATCTGCATTCCTTGTTTTTCCAGTCCCTTTGGATAAAGCAAAACCCCTTTGATCTCAAAACTCATAAATACAAAGTGCAAATAATACAAAAAACATTTGAAGAGGAATTTAAAATGTAATTTTTCAGGACTTTCTTGTCATTTTACTGTAAGTCCTTAATTTCAACTGATGAACTCTGGCTGTGTGAAAGGGCAATTGTCCAAAACCAAAGTGACTCCCATCAGACGCTGCCCCAGAACACCAGCTTAACTACTTCTTAGAGAACACAAAAGTCTTGGTGCGATAGGACTTTATGTTGTACCTCTCTATGTTTCCCAGAGCCCCGGTTAGATGGAGGCTGCGGTCACATGCACAGCCTAAAGTCCGGTTAAAGTGGGCTTTAGGTGAGTGAAGCAAAGACAAAAATGGTATTGATTGTTAGTTTAATTCACGTCCGTTGTGACGCGCATTTTCACACACATCTCTACAGCATTTGCATACTTTTGTATTCTCTGCTTGTGTTAAACTTATCATTTAAGACCGTGGTCCAGGGGTGCCGGGGGGTGTCTCCCTCCAGGGCCAAAGGGAAGCATTCCCTAGGGGGAGAACTCAGTGTGGTGCTATTGCTCTAACACTTCAGGCGTTCAGGAATCAGACTTTGTTTAATCGCCAGAACACACTGTATCCTGCCTGGCTTTGGTCATTCTGCTCGTACACCACATTTTTCATTCATTCATTCTCATTCCTTCGTTTCTCGTTAGCGTGCTCCCGTGTCTGCGGCGCGCCCGCACACACACACATTCACACACACGCACACGCTCACACATGTGTCCCACTGAGCTGCTGCACTTTGGAGAAAGACACGTCTCACACTTGTTCACATTGATCCGTGCTTGAGCTGTTTGCGCTACAGTAGCAGAATGTAAACAGGAAGAGAAACGGAAACTTAACTCGACCCCCGAGGTAGACGCTGAAGTTAGCATTAGCGCCCCCAGCTGGACTGAGCGCTGTACTACAGCACAGTTGCTCTGGCATGGTTGAGAGAACAAGCCCTTGTGACCGCGGGCCGTCTTCACACCCCTATGGCGACGAGCCCGGCCACTTGTTGGTTAGGACTGCATGAGTGAGGTTGCACTTGGCTAATAGAGGTTTTCACAAGGAAAAAAGGATGGAAAAACAGCTTATTTTGGTCAAAACACACACAATGCAGGAATGCTTTTGAAACTGTAAATAAAAATAGCATCTGTGCAATAATCTGCTTGGCAACAATAGCATTTGCATACGCATTGCCAGCCCTAATGCATTTAGGTTCTTTTTATTCGTTTCATGAAAATGCATAATTATACAAGTTTCAAATCATTCAAACAAATCATTCAATCATTTCCATGATCAGAAAGGAGCAGATAGAAGAATATTATTCTTATATAATTCTGCCCCCTCTTTTACAAAACAAAATTATATGGTTTTGCTGCTGATTCCTCTGCCTTCTTTATAAACACATATAAGCACATACAATATATATATATATATACCTACATACATACAACACACATACATATATACACATACATACTTATACATACCCGCACATACATGTCATAATAAACATAACACGTAATTAAACATCACTTTTGTAGATTTGGATTTGTTTCCTCTTGTAAGTCTTGTTAATGCATTCAACATTAAACAGAGAGGACCTCAGACCAATGCATATATTACACGTGCAAAAGCCGTGAAAAAAGAATGCTCTGGGGCAAATTTCTCTCACCTTCAAAAACTATAAAAAAATCCAAAGTAATGCAGGAAAATGAATAATGAGCAAATATTATACTTTATGATACAAAAAGTCTCTTTATTTTCCTGTAGACCATTACCTCTGTGCGCATATGGTGCATGGAGGAAAAAAAAACAAAAGATTTAAATTTCGTAAAAAAAAAAAAAGTAAAAAACAATCATTAAAATGTGTGTAAATCTATTCTATACCTGCTGATAGTAGATATTATCTGTGTATGTATTGTGCATTCAAAAAATGTCTAACAATCAATAGCATTTTAGCCTCTGCTTCAGTCACCATATACGTTATAACTGAATTGTAACCCCATAAATTAAATATTAAAAATGTTTTGTACAATTATCCGGCCGGAAGTACATGTCTATGATAATAAATAGCCTTAGGGAATAAAAGGTTGAATAGTGAATAAAAGGTTGTCTGGATAATCCTTCTTCTTATGCGTCTAAAAGTGTGGTGTCAGCAACTCCAATTGTATTTCACAAGAATCATGTATTTTTCTGATCAAGGGACATTGTACTATTTTGTGCTGTATTTTTTGATAAAATGCATTCATAAAATTCCCTCTCCTTGGGTTAACTACAACTAGTACCATTTGCTAGAGGCAGGCCTGTCGCAAGGGGGGTGCGAGGCCCTGTGCGAACTTGAAACGCGAGGCCCTGCCCTGACACCTTTTTCCCAGATCTCAGGAAAGTTTTTCATGTTATAATATTTGACATTAATTCAGCACCGCCTCGCACTGTGCGTGAAGAGATCAGCACGCGCGCAGACGTGTGTCCTCGCTCCAATGCAGCGTCGCACGCACACACGCACGCACCCACACACAAACTGTTACCGCGCTTGGCATTGGTATATTGGTCGCGGTCTTTTTAGCTGACATGGCTCTTTCGTCCTGTGGCAAAATGGCAGCAACTCAAAAGATTGAACCAAAAGGAGTCTTCTTCTTTTTCTAATTGTTAGATTACGGCAAAATGCGCCAAAATGGCTATGAGGCGGAGTCAATATTTGTTATTTTTTTCCTCATCAAATAACGTTTTTGCCATGCCTCCACACTCACAACATACGCTCCTTCTCCTGCTCCTCCTCCTCCACACACTCTGACCACAACAACATACGCTCCTTCTCAATCTCCTCCACCACACACTCTGACCACATTTTTATGCCCAAAATCCACTGCACTCACAGTAGCATGAACGTTGGACATACAGTGTTTGCTAATGCTTTTATAATATGTTTTTGATGTGGATATTCGGGCTCAACATTGACAATAACAGCGCTCACACACCTGTTTCGCAGCTCCTCCTCTTCCTCCTCTGGTCACACTCCTCTCTCCTCCTCCTCATACGGAAGACGCGAGTATCCATCTCTCCGTACACTGGGCTCATTCCCGTTACTTTCTTCACTCAGACACTGCTAAAGTTATCTGACAGCTCCGTAAAGTTTTTTTTCGGAGGACCCGTTGCGTAGATAGCTGCCCTCGCGCCTGCCTGTTTACAAATCGCTTTTGGTGAAAATTTGACTTCACTTGTAATAATGTACTTTTGAACAAAAGAAATCAGAGGTCCAGAGAAAGGGGATTAGGGGTCCGAATTTGGAGCGCAGTCCGCCCTCTGGGGACTCTTGAACTAGTATATTTATTTAATAAAAAAATAAAAAAAAGGAAGGATTGCGAGGCACAGTGTGGTGCGAGGCCCTGTGCGACGGCACAGGTCGCACAGCCCTTCCGACGGGCCTGGCTAGAGGAGAATATCTAAACCAAACACCAAGGATTTTAATACATATGGACCAATCAGGAGGCTGCAAAAAGTTTCCCTCTCTTCACAAAAGCTCATTTCACTTTAAAGGTACACTGTGTAAGAAAATTCACTCACGCTGTTGATAAACTGTATCCTGGTGATTGTTTTGTGGGGATTCTCAGATTCTTCAGACTTGTCCCTGAATAAGTTTAGTTGAAACTTGTGACATAGTAGTTGGACTCGGAGCGGGTCAGAACATCCTGAGACCCGAGCAGATTCTGCCTCGTTCTCATTACAGTCAATGCGAATCGAGTTACTGTTGGTGTGAAGATGGTTATGTATTGTGGATGGTTGCAAAAAACTTAACAACAGCAGGCACATTAGCTACAGCAATGTGCCTCCTGTTGTTTTAACTCAGCCTTTCGGTTTGTGTGATTTGCAATTTTAATACTGCTATTATGACCATGAGTTTCTAGATTTTTTCTTTTTTTTTTTCTTCTAAAAGATTGTTGTTCGGGTTGTTCTTTTACATTACTGTGGTCCTCCAGAATCCCTTTTTCAAACTTGTCAGGACGCAGTAAAACCTTTTTGTCCCTTATCAACCACTGTATTTCAATATGGCACACTGACCTTGTAGGAGCCATTTAGGGTTTTAGTTTTTCTGTGTGAATGTGACTAGTACATGCACGCACATATAGTGTCATGCACGGCTGCACTGTGGGTGTGGTTGTCTATTTAGTGCATGCGCTCACTTCAGCTGTGTGTGTGTGTGTGCCTGTGTCATGGCGGTGGGGTGAGCTGGGGAAGGAACTTTCTGTTGACCGCATGTTTCCATCAATCAATTATCTGCACTGTCCTAATGAGGTATCTTCATCATACATAGGGACGTTCCCAGTAAGTGCCTGATTCTTTTCTACTCTCCGCAATAAACTTGCACAGTATAAATAATACTGTGCAATTTCTTCGACTGCGCGTCATCAGTGTCTGCTCCCTTGCGTAGCCCGCCGTGGAGTCATGGATTAAGTTTTGCCCTCCCATACGCCACTATAGACCTGGAGAGCAGTCCTCTCTCAAAATCAATTTCTAAGCTCATGACAACAATTCAACATGGTCCAATACCTGAGTCAATATTCTTAGAGTACCAAAATAAAGTGAAATCAATTCTAATATTTATTTTTAATAGTTTTATTTATTTTATTTTATTATTTTTTGCACTGTAATAGTGACACTTTTATCTCCAATGGAAACATTCTGTAAATGCCCAGTATGACAGAGGTGAATGCGAGGATAGCAGGCTCTTACCGCTGATCCACTTGGCGTCGGGGTCGTGCACTTTGAAGTCCTTCTTGAACAAGTCGGACACGGTCAGTTTTCCCTTTAAGGCCAAGCGATCGTCCTCTCCTGAAAACACAACACACAAGGATGAGTTCTGGGAAGTGTTCTATAATAGTACTGCACTATACTGTAGTACTGCACTACTGCAGAACCGCACTACTGTACTACAGCACTACTGCACTACTGTAGTTTTGCACTACTGCACTACTGTAGTATTGCACTACTGCACTACTGTAGTAATGCACTACTGCACTACTGTAGTATTGCACTACTGTAGTATTGCACTACTGCAATACAGTGTTCATGGTTACACAGATCCAGACAAGATCAGAGAAGATTCAGAGACTGAACCAAGCAGATCAAGCAGATATCCATTGGAGGAATGCTATCTTTTTGAAACAAGCATTCTGCACCCAGCAGCTACACTACCTCTGATGCTGTGACCTGCTGTCCTGATGCTGTCCTGATGCTGTGACCTGCTGTCCTGATGCTGTGACCTGCTGTGCTGATGCTGTCCTGATGCTGTGACCTGCTGTCCTGATGCTGTGACCTGCTGTCCTGATGCTGTGACCTGCTGTGCTGATGCTGTGACCTGCTGTCCTGATGCTGTGACCTGCTGTCCTGATGCTGTGACCTGCTGTCCTGATGCTGTGACCTGCTGTCCTGATGCTGTGGCCTGCTGTGCTGATGCTGTGGCCTGCTGTCCTGATGCTGTGGCCTGCTGTCCTGATGCTGTGGCCTGCTGTCCTGATGCTGTGACCTGCTGTCCTGATGCTGTGACCTGCTGTGTCCTGATGCTGTGGCCTGCTGTCCTGATGCTGTGGCCTGCTGTCCTGATGCTGTGACCTGCTGTCCTGATGCTGTGACCTGCTGTGCTGATGCTGTGACCTGCTGTCCTGATGCTGTGACCTGCTGTCCTGATGCTGTGACCTGCTGTGCTGATGCTGTGACCTGCTGTGCTGATGCTGTGACCTGCTGTCCTGATGCTGTGACCTGCTGTGCTGATGCTGTGACCTGCTGTCCTGATGCTGTGGCCTGCTGTCCTGATGCTGTCCTGATGCTGTGGCCTGCTGTCCTGATGCTGTGGCCTGCTGTCCTGATGCTGTGGCCTGCTGTGCTGATGCTGTGACCTGCTGTCCTGATGCTGTGACCTGCTGTCCTGATGCTGTGACCTGCTGTGCTGATGCTGTGACCTGCTGTCCTGATGCTGTGGCCTGCTGTCCTGATGCTGTCCTGATGCTGTGGCCTGCTGTCCTGATGCTGTGGCCTGCTGTCCTGATGCTGTGACCTGCTGTCCTGATGCTGTGACCTGCTGTGCTGATGCTGTGACCTGCTGTCCTGATGCTGTCCTGATGCTGTGGCCTGCTGTACTGATGCTGTGACCTGCTGTCCTGATGCTGTGACCTGCTGTCCTGAGGCTGTCCTGATGCTGTGGCCTGCTGTCCTGATGCTGTGGCCTGCTGTCCTGATGCTGTGACCTGCTGTCCTGATGCTGTGCTGATGCTGTGACCTGCTGTCCTGATGCTGTGGCCTGCTGTCCTGATGCTGTGACCTGCTGTCCTTATGCTGTGACCTGCTGTCCTGATGCTGTGACCTGCTGTCCTGATGCTGTGGCCTGCTGTCCTGATGCTGTGACCTGCTGTCCTGATGCTGTGACCTGCTGTCCTGATGCTGTGACCTGCTGTCCTGATGGTGTCCTGATGCTGTGACCTGCTGTGCTGATGCTGTAACCTGCTGTCCTGATGCTGTGACCTGCTGTCCTGATACTGTAGCCTGCTGTCCTGATGCTGTCCTGATGCTGTGACCTGCTGTCCTGATGCTGTGACCTGCTGTCCTGATACTGTAGCCTGCTGTCCTGATGCTGTCCTGATGCTGTGACCTGCTGTCCTGATGCTGTGACCTGCTGTCCTGATGGTGTCCTGATGCTGTGACCTGCTGTCCTGATGCTGTGACCTGCTGTCCTGATGCTGTGACCTGCTGTCCTGATGCTGTGGCCTGCTGTCCTGATGCTGTGACCTGCTGTCCTGATGCTGTGACCTGCTGTCCTGATGCTGTGACCTGCTGTCCTGATGGTGTCCTGATGCTGTGACCTGCTGTGCTGATGCTGTGACCTGCTGTCCTGATGCTGTGACCTGCTGTGCTGATGCTGTGACCTGCTGTCCTGATGCTGTGACCTGCTGTCCTGATACTGTAGCCTGCTGTCCTGATGCTGTGACCTGCTGTCCTGATACTGTAGCCTGCTGTCCTGATGCTGTCCTGATGCTGTGACCTGCTGTCCTGATGCTGTGACCTGCTGTCCTGATGCTGTGACCTGCTGTCCTGATGCTGTGACCTGCTGTCCTGATGCTGTGACCTGCTGTCCTGATGCTGTGACCTGCTGTCCTGATGCTGTGACCTGCTGTCCTGATACTGTAGCCTGCTGTCCTGATGCTGTGACCTGCTGTCCTGATGCTGTGGCCTGCTGTCCTGATGCTGTGACCTGCTGTCCTGATGCTGTGCTGATGCTGTGACCTGCTGTCCTGATGCTGTGGCCTGCTGTCCTGATGCTGTGACCTGCTGTCCTTATGCTGTGACCTGCTGTCCTGATGCTGTGACCTGCTGTCCTGATGCTGTGGCCTGCTGTCCTGGTGCTGTGACCTGCTGTCCTGATGCTGTGACCTGCTGTCCTGATGCTGTGACCTGCTGTCCTGATGGTGTCCTGATGCTGTGACCTGCTGTGCTGATGCTGTAACCTGCTGTCCTGATGCTGTGACCTGCTGTCCTGATACTGTAGCCTGCTGTCCTGATGCTGTCCTGATGCTGTGACCTGCTGTCCTGATGCTGTGACCTGCTGTCCTGATACTGTAGCCTGCTGTCCTGATGCTGTCCTGATGCTGTGACCTGCTGTCCTGATGCTGTGACCTGCTGTCCTGATGCTGTGACCTGCTGTCCTGATGGGTCGTGATGCTGTGACCTGCTGTCCTGATGCTGTGACCTGCTGTCCTGATGCTGTGACCTGCTGTCCTGATGCTGTGGCCTGCTGTCCTGATGCTGTGACCTGCTGTCCTGATGCTGTGACCTGCTGTCCTGATGCTGTGACCTGCTGTCCTGATGGTGTCCTGATGCTGTGACCTGCTGTGCTGATGCTGTGACCTGCTGTCCTGATGCTGTGACCTGCTGTGCTGATGCTGTGACCTGCTGTCCTGATGCTGTGACCTGCTGTCCTGATACTGTAGCCTGCTGTCCTGATGCTGTGACCTGCTGTCCTGATACTGTAGCCTGCTGTCCTGATGCTGTCCTGATGCTGTGACCTGCTGTCCTGATGCTGTGACCTGCTGTCCTGATGCTGTGACCTGCTGTCCTGATGCTGTGACCTGCTGTCCTGATGCTGTGACCTGCTGTCCTGATACTGTAGCCTGCTGTCCTGATGCTGTGACCTGCTGTCCTGATGCTGTGGCCTGCTGTGCACAACCTAAAGTCCAGTTAAAGTTACAGCGTGCTGGACTACCTGCTCTTTCCTGCTTTTAGATTTTTTAGTTTTGTGTGTCTGTCTGAACGTGTGTGTGTGTGTGTGTGTGTGTGTGTTCTGAATTGTGAAGCGTCTTTGAGTTCTTGAAAAGCGCTATATAAACCGATGTATTATTATTATTATTATCATTATTATTAAACAAGTGTGCTATAATAAGGAAAATAGACGTGTCAAAGAGAAATACAAAATCTACAACATTCCTAAAAATGTTAACTATATACAAGAGCACACAATAGACATTTAGCAGTGCAGTAAAGTGACAGTGCAGTAAAGTGACAGTGCAGTAAAGTGACAGTGCAGTAAAGAGACAGTGGAAGTGAACGGGCATGACTATAGATAATAAAGAAAATGAGCATAATGAAGCTTTGAGCTGAATGGACACAATAGACACTTCCATTACATGAAATAGGTCTCAATTTTGAACAATGTAAGACTGTGCTGTAAGTGACAAAAGAGAAAGGGAAAAAAGCATTTCTGAAAAGAATGCAGATGGTGAAAAGTTGGCAAGGCATTCACTTTTTTCGACTTGAATTTTTCTCACGAGATTTACCTGCATTTGAGAAGGAACACAGAGAAAGAACAAAGTGTATTTTTCAGTAGAATTGCACGTTTATAGAAGACAACGTTTCCTTTAAAAAGCTCTTTTTATGCGGCACTCAGTGGCACTGAGTCAGAACCATCAGCCATTATAACACCATTATCGCCATTGAAACTGGCAACAATAGAAAAGCTTTTAGCTACTTTTAGGATCTCAACAACAACTCAACCTGTGTCCTGTTCAATCCAGAGGACAAAAAAAACCTGTTTGGATTTTATTTTGCTACATAAATAATGTTATTTATCAAAACAGGAGTAGAATTACAAAACATACAGCTAAACAAAACCTAAAGCAGTAGGAACAAGGCAATCATGGTTTTTGATCTATTGAACATTTTGAATATTGCTGAGAGGTGTGACTCCCCTGAGGGCCTCCACAGACTGTAAATACTAAAGCTACTGTTTAACAATTTACAGAAAAAAACAGCTGTTTCCGTTGTCTTTCTTCAAGGGGTTTCTAAACCTCAAGCATATATGTTTAGAGCAGTATGATTTTTTTATACCATTTTCATTTATTGCATTTTTAAACATACAGTAATCCCCTCATACACATAGCCATATGGAGCACAATCAAAACATACACAACATCTTACTCATGCATCCCCGCAGCTTTCAAGAAAACAGTTTTTGTTTCTTGGAACTACAATAAAATACAAATAAGGATTTCCACACCTTGTAATCTAAGTTGTGTTATGTGTGCTTATGTGAGTCTCTGTCAGAGGTGCGGACTAGTCATGTGACTTGGACACGAGTCAGACTCTAATAATGAATTTTATGAAATAATATAAAAGGGGGCGACAGTAGCTCAGTTGGCCTGAAGGTGGTGGGTTCAATTCCCACCTTGACACCTGCTCCACCGACTCCCACTGATGTCTGCTGTCGTTGTGTCCTTGGGCAAGACACTTAACCCCACTTTGCCCAAAAGTGACCGTATGCTCACATTGACAGAGCAGCCGTCCTCCTGTGGACTCACCACCTGCAGAGGGTCAGTGAGGGGCTGGTGCTATGTGACTTGGGTGGCATCTCTGACTGCCACCCCCCTGACCCAGAAATGGATTAAGGGGTGGAAAATGGATGGATGGAATATAAAATGACTTGCAACTCTACATGGACTTTAACATCCGTAACTCTGTCTTTCAACTTGGACTTGAGCCTTTTGACTTGCAAAGACTTGTGTAACCAGGGTCATTTTTACCGTTCCCTGAATCCCTATTTTCATTTATGGCGTCATCTGAGGAAAAAAAGTCTCACGGTAGTTGGGACGCTCAAGCGAAAGTTTAAATATGACTTCCCTCGGTTCCCGCAGCAACACTTTCTCTAAAAAGTGCACTTCAATCACCGGAGGGTGACAAACTATAACTGATGTGCTTTCACGACAGGCGCCTCCTACAATTGAATTGACGTGTTTTAAAGAGGAACTGGCGAGTCAGACCGTTTTGGCTCTTTTTAATAATGTTTTCCTGTGTCGGCCCCTGGACCTAATATCATGAGTTTTTTTTTGTGCTCCTCCTGCAAAAGTTTGCACTATTAAATTGTTGTTTTTATTGTCTGTACAAAGCTGGATTAATGAATCAAGGTTCAAAGTTCAAGGTAACTTTATTTGTACCTGTGGGTAGACTCTTTTTTGGAGTTAAAAAGAAATAGACTTGACATTTTCAAAATAATATTCATAAAATCACTGCATTTGACACATTAGATCACAATATTCTACTGCGCAGACTAGAATGTGACATTGGTCTCAGAGGAACAGTCCTTGGCTGGTTTAAATCCTATGTATCGGATTGGTATCAGTTTTTCAATGTGAATCAAAACTACTCGCCAAAAATTTGGTGTGCCACAAGGATCGGTACTCGGACTGATTCTTTTCACACTCTACATGCTCGTGTTTGGCAACATAATTAAAAAGCATGGTATTAACTTCCACTGCTGCAGATGTCACACAGCTTTACCCTGATTACAATAATAGTGAATAAACTGTTCCAATTCAGCGAAACGCGGCTGTCTCTCTCACAGTTGCTACAGTTTGTGTATTGCAAAGTAGTGCCTCAGTAAAAAGTATCAGTGTTTTGTTTAAGCGGCAAATAAAGGTCACAGTCTCTGGTATAAAGCTATGTTGTTCAATGACGACATAACGTGTTTTGTCCACCGCTATGACTCTAATGCTACACCACCAGCTCTTTTGCCATATTCTACAGGCCGCTGGTTTTAGAAAAGTTTTTTCCTCCGAGCATGTTTACAGTTTTAGTTGCCAACTAAGCAGAGCCGTCTTGAATGAGACACACGCAAGGGCAGTGGCAGCAAGGAGGCAGCACAGAGAAGGCAAGTGAACAAAGCTGTAAAAGTGAAATATAAAGATTATATATATACAATGGGAATGAGGGTTTTGGGAAAAAGAGCAACATTTTTTTCAATAGTCACTTCACTGCACTGTCACTTTTCACCAGTATTTTGAAATGGTGTCCTTGATTATGGAATATGCAGCACAAGTAAGTAAACTCAATCTATAGTGTCCCACAAGGCACCTCACAAGTAAACATTTGTCAAAAGAAGTAGTTATATGAATGAGGGCAATATGTGATCCAACCCTATACCCAACCTTCTATTTTATTTATGATAGAACTTAATGATTGTGATCTCCAAGGGTCTCAGCTTCATCAAGCCTCATTTTGAAGACCTCATATTTTGTTTGTAATTGTAAATCAGTGTGGAAAAAGCAACAGTGTAGCATTTTCTATCATCCAGAAACCTATTGTAAAATCCTACAGTCATTTCACAGTTAAGCATCGTGCTGCATGAATTTCCATATTAAGTCTGCGACATGAAGACGAGCTGCTTATTTGTGCTCTCTAATTCTGCAGCTGTCGGAAACACTCACGAAAAAAGAGGTTCCAAGAAACAGAGAAGGACCAAACTGGAAGTGACAGAAAAATCTTACTGAGCTCTTGATAGGAAGCATTAAACACATACTGAAAATAACTACCGTAAATCACGAGTTAATAAGGCGTAAGTTTTGTAAAGTGCATCAAAGCCCACAAATGTGTGTGCTACAGGCGCCCCCTGGAGGCTACCTGCCTCCTGCACAGTGAGGAAAGTTTACATATTGCTGTATATTTGTTTTCACCACAGGAAAAGGCCGCTGGTCCTGACTAAGACCAGGGGCGGGACCACATTACACCAGTTAAAAAAATCTGCATTGGCTCTGTGTGTTTCAGGATCGATTTTAAGGTTATTTTACTGGTTTTTAAATGTCTTACTGGTCTTTGTCTTTCTTATCTTTCAGAACTGCTTTTACCATTTGATCCTTCCCGGCCACTGCCCATTCCCAAAGTCAGGACACACACACACACACACACACATGCATGCTCACACACCTATTTATATTTTTAAAGCAGGCTCAAGACATACCTTTTTAGATTAGCTTTTGATTAATATTTCTTATTGCATTTTCATATATTTTATTTTAGATCCACTTTTGTATTTATGTCTTTTACTTTTTATTGTATTGTTTTAGTACCCTAAGTGTTTCCTCTGGAAGGGCCCACTGCACTGGGAGCAGTGGTCAGCTGTGGGGGTCTGGCTCCTGGACCTGGGATAAGTTTTGCCCATAGTCCTTTCCGAGTTTTTTCCATAGTTCTTTCACAGTCTTGCCCATAGTCCTGGGTGTAGGGTGTGTTTGGTTTGCAGGGAGGGGTCAGATTCTACATTGCTGGCCCATGGAGCTTGAAAACAATGAAAACCAATTGTGGCATTAACCAGAGTCAAGCTTCCTTCCTTCAGGGAGAGCGCGCAAACGCTGGCGTCAGAGCATGTCTTTTGATTGGATACGAAACATAGAGATGTCAATGCAGAAATGTCCATGTGATAAACAAAAGCACGCTGGGTTAGGGCATCACTGCAGGGGCTGGTCTGAAATGCATGAAATGTACCCATTATGGACAGTTGCAGCTGTCGACTGGTCACCGTCAGATACTAAATCAAACTTTCATCTAAGAGCCTGTCAGGAATGAACCAGACAGAGACGAATCGTGGTGCGCCAAACTCTGGAAGTTTATTTAGGTTTCTCTCAAGTTCCAGTGGTTTCTGATGTTTCTTTCTCTCAGACCAAAATGGAGTCAGTACAGTTATATAGTCATTGTTACGTCACACATCGAAAGACATACGTGTCACACAGAGACAGAGCACATCAGAGTCAAAACATGGATGCACCATCAGAGTCCTTGTATAGTCTTGCAGTTGTCCAGCACGTAGGACAAATACTGTAGCTATCTAATCCTCACAAGTCAGTTATTAATAGTCTTTGGAAAGGGATATTGAAGTGAAAAATGTATTGACATATAGTCAATGTATACTGTAACTTAACTTTTAAGTTAAGGTGACATTAACCTTAACTTTTAAGTTAAGGTGACATTTCTCAAGTTAAGTGAAGTTGGTAGAACTTTATTTAATTTGATTTTGTCCCCGTCTGCTTCCTGTCACCTGTTCTTTATGTATATAGCCAGCATAGTGTGATTCACCTGACTTTTTAATCAATGTGCTGAGGCTATTGCAGTGAGACAACAATAACTTGCATCAGACCTGCTTTGTGGCAGAGTCAAACAGATGGATGGAGGAGGAAGGAAATCTCAAAGTCCACAGAGTTTATCACAAAGGGCTCCATCTCCTTTAGAGGATCTGCTCAGACAGTCAAATCCACTTGACTGAGAAAGTCTGTGACAAACCTAATACTACCCATAAGTTTCTCCCTCCCAACTACTATTCTCTCTGTTCAGTTTTTGATTTAGAAACAGATTCTGTATCAATATGGATTACACCAACTCCAAAATATGAAGTTGAAAGTTATACTGCCATTTCCTTGAGCAGTGTCGCTATCTTGAACAGACAGAAAGGGAGGACTCGACAGACACCAAGCCAAAGTCCTAAAGTCAGGTCAGATTTCACTTTAAATATAAAAGAAAAAAT